CCCCCTGATCGGGCCCTGCTCTGTGCATGACAGGGGGCAGCGCCCCAACTCCCCAATCAGCCCTGCTCTGAGCCTGACCAGGGGCTGCACCTAGGGATTGGGCCTGCCCTATGCCACCCGGGAGCAGGCATAAGCCAGCAGGTCGTTATCTCCCAAGGGGTCCCAGACTGTGAGGGACACCGTCCCCCCACCAGTAAACAAATTTTTGTGCACTGAGCCTCTAGTATATTATATAACAAATTTCCAAATATACAGAGATCTGTTTCTTAATCTTCTACTATCTTTTCATGCACTGGTACCACTTCGTCTCAGTGCTAAAGTTTAATTTTGTCTTCATAACTCACAGGGCAGGTCACTCCATCCTCTAGCCTTATAAAATGTACATATACATTTTGTAATCATTTTTCCCTTTCTATTTTAAAACTGCTTCAACTTTATTGGTATTGCTTTCAATTTATGGCCCCTTTAAAATAGTAACTCTATCTATATATTCTTTAGAAAAGCTTTGTATGTTTCCTCCATAAAGTTTTTTGTTAAAGATAATTTCAAGATGCCCTGGCTGGCATTGCTCAGTGGTTAGAGTGTTGGTCTGTGGACCAAAGGGTAGCGGATTTGATTCCTAGGTTGCAGGTTTGTTCCCCAGCCCCAGTCAGGGTGCATGTGGGAGGCAACCAATCAATGTGTCCTTCTTACACTGCTGTTTCTCTCTCTCCCCAATCTCTCCCTTAAAAAAAAAATAAAAAAAAAAAAATAAAAAAATTGGGAAAAATATCCTCGGGTAAGGATAAAAAAAAAAAAAGATCATTTCAAGATATAATTTCTGCTGTTATTGTGATGGGATACATTTCCTATCGTATTTTCTAATTGTTGGTACACAAATTTTAATATGTACATAACTAATTCACCAATCATGAGGAATTTTGCTTTATTAATTCTAATTATTTTCTTAAGATAATATTTTTTTTTAGAAATTATGGTTAATATACCCCTTTCTAATATTTTTAGAACTCAGTTTTGTTTTTAAGAAAGTATTACATTTATTAGCACCTCCAAGGTAATACTTAATTATGGTGGTGATGTCACCTTTACATTGTTCCTAACATCAGTGGAAATGTTTCTAATTATTAAGCATGATTGCTGTTTCTTCTAGATTTCCTTTATCAAGAAAATTATCTTCTGCCCCTATTTCATTGAGATTTTATTTCTACTTAATCCATCTATCTATCTTAAAATGTTTTCAATCTTCTGTGTGTATGTATCAAAGCCGCTCTTTTTTAAAAAAAGGAATTACTGAATTACAATTAGCAATTACTATTTTAGAATTTGTAAAGACTTCACTTGTAGTCAATTGCTAGAGAGAATATTTTAATGTTTTATATCCACTTAATACAGAATATCTTGGGCTACATCAGGAGTTCATGAAAGGATTTGAGGAAGGCTCACAGAGACCCACCAGCTTGCTGTTCCTCTTGCTTACAATTAAGAACTCTGAAAGATATGCCACTACACCAGTCAGGGCTTCCGAGGGGACCAAGTCCAGGGGCACCACCGTCAAAAAATACAAAAGTCTCCCTACAATTACATGATGCAATGCCATGAAACTCATCTACATGATAGCAATTTATTTTTTTAATGTGTCTAAAGCACACTGCACAAGATTAAGAAGATAAAATACATTTACTTACACATCTGAACAACAAAAATGATTCTGTGACACCCCCAGCACTGTAAGCATGGGTTTTCTAGTCCCCCGTTGGGCATTCTCTCCTTTCTGCCACTTACTATCTGAACAGCGCTGGGCAGATTGCTAGGCAGCCGGAACATGGACCAACAACAGGTTATTAACTCTCCTGTTACGTTTCCTGTTCCTTGTTTGAAAAACAGAGAATTATTCTTGTTTTATTGGCTTGCTGTGATTATTTACATAAATTCAAATAGCACAGTGCCTGCCCCTAGAAGGCATTTGAAAATTACTACTTCCATTCCCAATGTTGATTAAAAAATCATTTTAGTCTGTATGTACACAAGCTATTCACCAGAGTGAGATGATCTTTAACCAATGCAGTCACCTAGGTCTCGTCGCAGCTGGAAGTAGTATGACCTCAGAATACTCGTGCCAGCGCTTCTGGCTTCCACGCCCACAATGCTCATGCTGTCACTTTCCACCTGGGTGAATCCACTGCGAAGGAAACGACACGCTGCGTGTTAACTTGAGACAAGGACAAATGTGTTGGCAGTAGGGTCTTCACACACAACCTCATACCTCCTCCACCAGCCCCATTTGAGGACCTACTGCCTGAATCACAGTGATCCTGGCTATTCTGGAAACTTCTCCTGATATAGGAGGAGGGGCACCTGATCTAATCTTGGCAGGTCTGAGTCATTCCCCAGCATTTAGAACCATCAGTTCCTGATCAGTCTTGGTGAAGATGTGAACACAGCAGCTCATAAGGCCACCATTCTCTGTGATGTGACCTGTGTCTGCCTAGAGCAGCGGTTCTCAACCTATGGGTCGCGACCCCTTTGGCGGTCGAACGACTGTTTCACAGGGGTTGCCTAAGACCATCCTGCATATCAGATATTTACATTACGATTCATAACAGTAGCAACACTACAGTTACGAAGTAGCAACGAAAATAATTTTATGGTTGGGTCACAACATGAGGAACTATATTTAAAGGGCCAGAAGGTTGAGAACCGCTGGCCTAGACAAACGTACCATGTGCTGCTCTGAGGCATGAGAGGAAAATGAAGCAGGTATATAGAAAACCAAACGAAACTAAACTAAGCAAAAACAAAATTAGAGAAGGAATTTCTTGTTTCTTACAGAAGCCTAGCTGTTGGGCTATAGACTGCTTCTCGAATACTGCTGTTCTGGCCTTCGTGAAATACCTTTTAGCTTCAAGTCCATGCTGACTTACTAAGTTTAAGTAGCAACTAAAGTTCTATTTAACTTAGACATATCAAGAGTGGAATGCAGCAGTTTCCAGACTCTCAGAAAACTGCAGCATTGGCTGGTCTATCTAGGGGCTGAGCAGGTCCCCGATCTGGTCAGCCAGCCAGTGATCACTGTGCTTTTTGGGCAAAGAAGGTTGAATTTGCATCTGCTTTCTCTCTTTAGAATCATCATTCCTCCTCTTAAGTCTTTTTCTTTCTCAATTGATTTTTAGTAAATTTTCAGAGTGGGGCAACCATCACCATGATACAGTTTTAGAACATTTCCATCACTCCAAAAAGTTGTGCCCTAGCCCAATTTGCTCAATGGTTAGAGCATCAACCTGCAGTCTGAAGGGTTCTAGGTTTGATTCTGATCAAGGGCATGTACCTCGGTTGCAGTCTTGATCCCCAGTCCCAGTCAGGGCACATGCAGGAACAACTAATTGATTTGTCTCACTCACATCGATGTTTCTCTCTCTGTCTTTCCCTCTCAGCTTCCACTCTCTCTAAAAAATAAAATAAAATCAATGGGGAAAAAAAAATTCTCAGATGAGGATTAACAAAAAAAATAAATAAAAATAAAAATTTAAAATAAATTTTAAAAAAGATTTATTGTACTTATCTGTAGTAAATCCCATCCTACTCTCAGCCCCGGGCAGCCACTAATTTATCTTCTGTTCCTACAGACTTGCCTCTCCTGGATGTTACATAAATGGAATCATAGAGTATTCTTATCTGTCTGGCTTCTTTAGTGGAGCACGATGTTTCTGCATTTCACCCATGTCAAGTGTATGTCAATGCACCATTCCTTCTTATAGCTGAGTAATATTCCCTGTACGGATGTACCACAGTGGATTTATCCATATCGGCTGGCATTTGCACCGTCTGCACTTTTAGGGTTGAGTAAAGCTGCTAAGAACATCCCGTGCAAGTCTTTGTGTAGATGTGTGTGTGTCTATTTCTCTTGAGTAGATGTGAAGATTCACATAAAGTCTGGGTGTAGATGAATTTATTTCCTTAGGTACATACGAACCTTCCTCTAACGTCTTTGTGTAGACATAGGTCTGTTTTTCTTGGGTAGATCCTAAGTGCTACTGGGTTGCTAGGAAATTTATGTCTAATACACATTTTCTTTGGAGAATCAGAATTCGTATTCAGAGACAACAACATTTTAGGAAACTGAAAAGTTCCTAGAAAGTTTTGGTTATTTCTTGCAGTAGTCACGAAGGTGCCAAAAAAGGAGATAAAATGTTGCACATCTTAGAACTTACAGGGAACAACAGCATTAAGCAAGATTTCTGGGTTTATTATGGCCAAATGAAGCTCCCCAAAAAAGAAATTACCACTCAACTAAGGATTTCTGGAGGTACGTGTTGTAAATCAGGGAAAGGGCATAATTTGAGGTCATGATCCATTCGTTCCGGAGTCCTGATTAAAACACCTTTTTGAGATGTGCCACTCACCTGCCACACTGAAAACAGTGTCACTTCAGCAGATGGACATGTTTACAATTTTATGATGCGTGTACTGCAGTGTTTAAAAGCACATGTGAATGGGAGATTCCAAAGTTTCTACTTGCTTACCATGACGAGAGCAGTGCAATGCAGCGTTGTGATGCACACAGTGCAGTGTTTAAATAGACTTATAAAGAAGTTTCTAAACGTGCTACTTGCTTGCTAAGTTAAGAACAGTATTGTGTCAGTGAGAGGATGTTCTAACTACTCAGTAGTGCTGTAAAGAAGGCAATAGAGAATTCCGTAAAGACAAATAAAAAAGAAAGAAACAGTGCATTTATGAGGCCAACATCTAAGCACAAGTCCCTGAAGGCTGACCTGACCAAGGCAACAGCACCGGTGTTTGCATGCATCTCCCCAGAGGAGGGGCGGTATCCCTGCCCCTGGAGGGAGACCATCGTTATTACTGACAGAGGGGCTCCACGTCACACAGGCGGGCCTCGGGTCCACAGCAGACACAGCAGAGCGAGGCCATGATGCCGCTCCCAAGTACAGGGGAACCCAGTACAAATGTATCCCAGCGTAAACGAGCGGAAGTACAGTACGTCCCCACCTGCAAATGTGGACATGGAACGGCCTGGCTCCCAAACACTCCGGTTCGGCCCAGACCTCCGACTTCCAAGGAATTTAATGAGGAATTCTGAGTGAAGCAGTTGCTGGTGCCAATGCTTTTCAGAATGCAGAGCACTGAGTTGGCCTTACGTTTTGTTTAGAAAGTTGAGAGGGTTAAAAACTACCTACAGACCAATGATCTTAAAATTTAGTTGATTCCCTACTAATTCTTAATCTTCCCAGAAAATTCTATTTATTTACTGAAAAGAACTAAGATTCTCCTGTTTTAGGAATTTCCTCTAATAATTGTCCTCAAATACCTACTGATTTACAATTCAGAAAATACGTAGTTTTGTTACAGAAATCTGTAAGTTTTTAAATATTTGGTTGGGGCATTGTATTTTTTCATTTAAGATTATAAGATGTTTCATGGGCACAGACAACAGTGTGGTGATTGCAGGGGGCAAAAGGGTGAGTGGAGGTGGAAAAGGGTATGGGGGAATAAATGTTAATGGAGAAAAATAAAATTTTAAAATAAATAAGTAAATAAGTAGTGTGAGAAGTTTGTCACAGGAGGGTGAATTTACCGCATACCTCATGACAAGAAAGTGACAACTCTCCCAGATGGAATATGAAATCTGGAAGCCCTGTCCTCTATAGCACTCTAGCAAGAAAGCTCACAAGTGGTTCCAAACTATTAACCTAAAAGCACGATGCATTCTTTCACTTTCACAGTCTTGTCCCCATGGACGCCCCCCACACCAGGGTCTGGCAGTAAGTTCAGAATTGTGTGGGCTATGAAGGGAGGGTAAGGCTGGGCTGCAGGGCTGTTAGGCCCCACCCCGGACCTTCCGCCTCCCCGTGGGACTTCGGGTACAATAACCACAGCTCTGCACGCCCACTGCACCTGGGCAATGTGGGTGATGCCAGCTGTGGGTGGCGGTTTCGTACATTAAAGGAGACCGAGTGGAGGGTGCAGAACATCTTTCTTTAAGAGGAAACAGATTCTGACCCGTGACTTTTGTTGGGTCCCCAAGTAGTTAGGGGCAGGCTAGGCTAGGACTCCAAGTCCCAGTCACATTCTCTCCAAGGGAATCCTTAAAAAGGTACTGTGGGGTATATGCACCCCTATGTCCATAGCAGCACAATTCACCATAGCTAAGATCTGGAAACAGCCTAAGTGCCCATCAGTAGATGAGTGGATTAAAACACTGTGGTACATCTACACGATGGAATACTATGCTGCTGTAAAAAAGAAGGAACTCTTACCATTTGCAACAGCATGCATGGAACTGGAGAGCATTATGCTAAGTGAAATAAGCCAGTCAATGAAGGAAAAATACCACATGATCTCACTCATTTATGGGATATAATGATCAACATAAACTGATGAACAAAAATAGATCCAGAGACAAATGGCAGGGGAGGGGGGTTAGAGAACAACCAAAGGACTTGTATGCATGCATATTAGCATAACCAATGGACACGGACACTGGGGCAGGGGAGAGGGGTTTTGCCCAGGGTGGGAAGGGGAGGTGTCAATCAGGGAAAAAGGAGACCTACATAAAACTTTAGCAATAAAAAAAAATAAAAAATAAAATAAAAATTATATATATATATAAAAAAAGCCACTGCGGGGAGGCCAGGAGAGGCCATCTTACGGGTAAAGGAGGAATCGGATGCAATTACCTGGCCCAGCGGTGGGAGCCCCCGAGCAAGTGATAGCAGCTCTTGAGGACAGGAAATTTATTCCCCTTTTTCCACATGTAGACACGCAAGGAGAGGTCGAAAGAAGAGGTGACGACTCGGCTCTGGTCCTTGAAATGAAAGCTACATGAGGCGGGGATGTGGGCTCCGGGGCTGGGCTCCTCGATCCGGGCCGGGGGTGCGGCACTCACCACACACAGGGACGTGATGGGCTTCTGATGGTCCTGGAAGGCTGCCAGCCGCAGGCCGTGGATGGTGAAGAGCACCAGCTCAGACTCCGACACCAGCAGGACCACTTGGGAGCCGTGCCCCTTCATGAGGTGAGGAGGCAACATGGTGTCTGGCAGGTTGAAACTTGCGATCTGCTGTACTTTTTGAATGAAAAACACACTGATTGTCATTTCTTGATAGCAGCTGGAGTCCGGGACAGGCGTGCCTCACCTAAGATGACGCAGCACATTGAAAAGGGCAAGGGCTTCACAGTTACCGCAGCGTTCACGGCTGAACCACGCGTTTACTCCCTCAGCCTCCCATGCACTGGCTCTACCGCACCGAATCCGGTGCCTGGCTTACAGGGGACACTGTGCAGGGGGAAGTGACAGTACCTGGCACACAGCACCATCCAGGGAATGGGGACAATGAACACCCTTCCTCATCTAGGACAGGGTGATATGAAAAAGGGCCACATGAGAACCAAGACATTTACGACATCTGCCAAAAACTATGTTGAAGACATAGTCTTTACACTGTATAGCATTCCTTGTTTTTTTTTTTTTTTTTTTTTTTTTTTAAATCAACTTGATCACTTTCTAATGGAGTTTAGCACCAGGAAGAAAAAATTACCTCTTTTGAAAAAATTCATGTGCTTTCTCGTATCAGACAAGGGATTATTCCATATCCTGTTTTCCCTTTTTCCTCGGCTGCCAGGAAGCTCAGAATAAAAACTAAGGTCAAATGATGACATGAAAACAAATGAACATAAAACCAAAGGAAAACAGCCAAGGACCACAGGGAAGGCCTGTCCGGGAGACAGGGAAGGAGAGGTCTGTGGGTCTTATTTTCCTACTGGACTAGGAGCTCCTGGGGAAGAGATAGGTGTGGCTTTTATCCATCTTTGCCTGCACTGTGCTGAGAACAGTGCCTTGGATACAGCGGTGAAAAGAAGCAAGGATGAATGGAAGCAGGAAAATAAGTCAGGAGAGGGCAGACTGTAAGCTGACAGTAGTTAATGTCTGAATTTAGGGCTACGCAGAGGGCCTGACACAGAGCAGGTGCTCAACCACTCACACAGTGTATAACATCACAAACAAGGAAACATTCGTTGGGTCACTATATTCTCTGCGAGAAAAGAAAAAGTGTCCCAAAGGCAACATGAGGAATCTGTGCTTGAAGCATCCTATGCAACGTTGGTGACATGCAGGCCCACAGGTCCTGTTGGGGATCCTTACCCAGAACGTTCACTGCATCCTTGGACTTCTTAGCCCCTGGCTCATAGGTGGTGACCACCCACTGCACGCCGCTGTCATCCCTGTGCACCACCACCAGCCTGGCCGCCTCATCGGGGGCCCAGCAGGCTTTGGAAGTCAGCCCGATGGGGAGAGAGGTGGAGACAGGAGGCTCGTCTTCCAGTGGACACAGCAAGGAGTGTGAGTGGAACACCTGGGGAACAGCACCGCCGGCCTCAGTGCGATGACAGGGACGCCTCCGGCCCCGGAGCACTCTCCGGCGGCTCTGCTCAGGGACCCACACCCACAGTGGCCTTCCGGGTGTTAGGGAGCGGCTGTGCCACTCGCAGACCCTCCTTTCCAGGTGGCTCGGGCCAGGGAGCAGGTCAGTCCCAGCCCACGTCTGGCCAGAAGATGTCTAGGTGCATGAGTCCCAGTGAGGGCAGGGTGAGTGACTCCAGTAAACGGCTCTTCTGCTTCTGAGCAGCTACACAGCACTGTCCTACTTCTGCCTCCAGTGTCTGCCTCCAGGATCCCTTCCTACTTCCAGGTAGTCTGGTCCCAAACACTTCTTCTTGGTCCCTAGGACTGCTATGTCAAGAGTCCCGCTCCTGGTGACCACTGCCCCCTGCCAGCCCCTTCCTGAGCCTCTCTCCTCCACTGCCCTGTCCAGACCTCTCACCTCCCCTGGCTGCCAGGTCCCTGCACTGCCGCCTGATTGCCCTGCCTGCCCTAGCTCTCTTCCTGGCTTCCTCATCTAGCCACCCAGCATGGATCAGACCTCTCCAGGGGGCTCCAACTCCGCTCTAATTTTCCAGGTCAGTTCCTGGCACTCAGGCTGGACGTCTCTGAGCCCATAAATCACCAAGATACTCCCTGGGTCCCAGGGCTCTGGTGCTAGTGCTCAGTGCCATGGGTTGGCCATGCTGTGCCCGATCCAGGTAATGATGCTGCCCCCCACTGGCAGCATCTCCTCATGCCTGACCTGACACCCTCTCATCCTCGCTCTCATGGAAGCTCTGTTCTCAAGCCACTGAATGTCTATGACACTCCACCAAGGTGTCCCTAAGGCCCCATCTCCTTCAGAACTAACTCTGTCCTCTAGCCAAGCCACGAACTCCTTCCGACCTGGGAGCAACACAGCAGCCTGGAAAGAGCAGCGGCTCTGGGGAGAGGCCTGCACCACCACTGCCCAGCTGGTGGCCCTGAGTGGTCGCAGACATGGTCCTGTGTGAGAAGCCACCCTCCCAGATGCATGTGCAAGACCGGGCACACAACCCACGACCTGTGCACACAAAGCCTGGCCCTTGGGACAAGGGACACAGCTCAGCACTGACCTTGGGGCTCAGGTCTGAGTCCTGGGCCAGTGTGACCACCCACTGGCAGTCGGGAGAGCAGAGCAGGGTGGCAGGGTGGTTCGGGAACACGCTCACCCTGGACAGTACCTGCA